TATAACTTTTTTGTTACGTAATTAAGAAGCTAGAGCTGTAACTTTAACGTATCACGAATTTGAATTGGCTCCTATTCCCCTTATTAAATTTCTATAAACTTGTTTACTTAATTTTTGCCAGTTAGTCACGCCTGTTTTGTTGTTCCACCGCTTATGGTTTTAGTCACGTTTTCTAGTATGGGTGGGGAACAAATACATATGTACCCTGTAGTCAAATGAACTAGTTGTAAACTACCTCACAACTAGTATGAACCGCATGCCCAACTAGTCAGCCAAATAACTTTGTTCCATGCAATCAACTGGTATTTTTAACATGGGGATGTCCTACGAGATGGCAATTGTCAGATTCCGGTCAGAAATATACCAGTCTCATACTAGTTTAAAATAGACAAAAAAATACTAGTCAAACTATGGACCAAAACCATTACTTTGGGAGTCAAAAAATAAAATGAATTCATAAATATACAATAAAAACTTTCGATTAAGTACACTTTAATATATCACAAATTTTTATTTGAGTATTAATTAAAAGCAAAAATAAATACCTAAATATTCCGAACTTTCGATCATAAATTTAAATGATAGTTTCATTAAATGTTACTAAAAGTAAACGATTTCAGGTACAATAAGTACTATATTTTTATCTTTTTTAATAATATTGAATATGCAAAAGAAAACATTTTAGTTAAAAATAAAATAAATACTTTAGTTCATTTTTGAGGGAACTAAAATAAAAATAAAAGTTTCAATTAAAATAAATTGAATTCATTAAATTTGAACATTTCAGTCTGTTCTTTTTAAAAATTTATAAAGTAATAATTAATGTTTAAAATTTGAGACTTGGATAAGAATAAAATTAATAAATAATTCAAGCAGTTCTTAAATTTTCTTAATTTTTGTATATTGTTTGGCTTGTTAATTGATAATAGAAATCAATCAAATTATTATATTTATCGTGTAATTAAAGAAAGTCAAAAATAATTGAAATGATCAAAAATAACAAAATAATGACGTAATTAAAATTAATGAATTAATAAAATATTTTTAAGTAATTAATTATTAATCAGTAATATCGGTATTGAATCATTAACCGGTTATCCAAAAAAACATACTTTAATTAATAGTCATTATGAATATTAATCATTATTTAGCAGGTCTGGTATAATTGAGTATACCCAAATAAAAGTTTTAATATTTTGTGTACTTTATTGTATTAAACTGTCGAAGTCAAAAAAAACATGGCATGAATAAATCGTTTTGTACTTGGTACAAGTCTGGTCATTTTCGAACTAGTTCCGTTTCTGTCAGGAAATTCTAGTTGTAAACTAGTATTTTTCCTGAGTAGTTTGGGATTTCACTGCAGAGTAAGTACCGTGCAGTAAAATTTTGAGACAGTCTGGCAAAACGCTAGTTCCGAACTACATATTTCAGAACTATCTCTGAACTGGTGCAAAACGGCTGCAGAGTGGATCAGTGGAAACTTGCGGAGTAAGTGTACAAATTCTCACTTCTCGTACAATATGAAAGTAGCTCAGCGAGAAGCCCTCCGACTCAAGCATCGTTGGTCGCGAGTTCATACCTGTTGTGAGTTTTCAGATTTAATAATTTAAATTATTGCGTGCCGCTTACAATAATTTCTTTTTATATAAAATATGTAATAAACATGGAATCTGTAAAAGAAAAAAAAGGAATAGATATCCAAAAATCGAATCTTAAAAACGATTTCTTCAAAAAAGCTGTCCAAAACAGAACCGGTTAAAAACTAGTTGCAAAGTTATGCACTGGGCGGCAATTGCCACCGCCAATGACATCGCCGTGTAAAACTGGACAGCTGAAAGCATTGCTTGTGTATTGGGCTAGAACTAGTACTGTCGTCGAAAATACTAGTTCTACGCTAGTTCTGAGCTAGTAAGATTTTCTGCAGGGTACTTGTAGAGTAAATACATTTGTAACTATCTACATGTGAACATACTACATACATTCGTATTTAATAATGATGCGACGAAAATTCTAGAACTCGTTAAGAATGCACAACAGCTCGGAATGAGCGTTGTTCTTTTCATTTTACTTTCAATAACAATAAAAGTTCAAGTAAAAATAAAAAATATGATTCGTAAAACCCCAACAAGTGGCTTGAGCTGAATTTTGTCTAAAATTTGCGTAAATTCCTCGTATACACGTAAACCTCGTAGACTTACTAGATTTTTCTATGGATTTATTTACGAGGTTTACGCGGCTACGTGCTATTTACGCGTTTAGGTGAACACCAGGAGTTTTGAAATGGGTTCCAAGGTTCTCGTGCTGAGGTAATTATTGATCCTCACGGCATGGATTTCTATCGGCCAATGACCGTTCAAAACACTGACAGTTGTGTCTTAGATTTTTGGAACGCCTTCGATACCCGTAACAACAGCACGACCTTGCTATTTTGTAATGTAGGATTGCGATTTAAGAGTCGCAGAAGTTAGCTTGCTGCCTATCTCTCCCGAGAGTAAACTGTAACTATTTAATTACATCTCTTCACGTGGGGACACCTCCATGTTTAACTGTAATAACTATGCAATACCCTTCTAAGGAAGTGTTGTGGATCCGTCTGAAAAGCTTACCAGTCATTCTCCCCAGTAATTTCGAGCAAATCATGAATCAGCCTAATGCGTTGATCGCTGCTCGGCTAGCAAATGTTCACCTACCTATCTCAGAGACTCCATTATACCTCCTCCTGAAGTGTGTGGCTGTTTCGCACAGAAGGGAGGGGAGTAAAGGGCATCTCTGGCCAGGAGAGGAGCACATTCACTGCGTACGCCTGGGATCGGTTCTGAAATTTATTGAGTCTCTGGAGTTGGCTGATTGGCTGTTGTGAGTTGAGTTGGCTGTTGTGAAGACCTACAGGTCGCAGTGATTTATTCATTTTATCTTATCTAAACTTTTCTTTTTATTTTACTGCTTTTTTATTAGAAACGGCTACAACAACTATAATTAAATAAAAAAATAAAGGTATTAGGTGAAGGAGCTAAATAAACAATGAAAATGAGAATAAAAATATTAGCTAGCTCGCTTAATACGCAATACTGCCATCTGCCAGGGTAAAAGTTTGTTCAGCTCAACTGTGCCGTTAATTCGCATCAATGTTGCCGTCTGACACAAATTACTCGTTTTATAACACAAGATTTTCGATGCCTTGGCGTATGAGTTACTTTTTTCCAGGATTTTATTTGGGTGGGAAATCTGAAATGCGAAATAAAATAACGTACGGCCTCTTACAAATTTTCATTTCCAAAATTACGAATTCCAACGTATTTAAAAAAAATCACGAAGCGAATGCGTCCCAATAGCTGTACTATTTTATTGAAGACTCTCAGAAACAAAAGCTGCCTTAAAACCTTGCTGTGTTTTGCAAATAAGAGTTTAAGTTCAGACACTGGAGCTTTGATTCTTCACTGAACTTTAAGTTGTTCGCGAGCTCAAAATGAAGAAAAAGTGGTCACCATTTTTGGATAGGAAATGTATTTTAATTGCTGTAAATTGCAAGCAAATATATGATTTGTAATAACAATTAATTAAGAAAATGTGAAAAGTATTAGCGAATTTCAGTGCATTTAAAGTTTTAAGAGCGTATCAGACGTGACAATATTTCCAATTTTTCCACGCAGTTCGCTGTCAAATTGAGAAAGAGAAATATTATTTCGATGTGGGAACAGCCAAAAAGGCCTTTCTGTCTAATTTCGCTAATCAATTTCAGAAATAAAAGTTGCAAGATGTGACTGCTATTGAGAGCGCACAAATCGATTTCGGAAATATATTTCAACTTGCCCGTGCTGCCCTTTCGAAATATATCGCATTTCTACGTGTGACAGGTTCTTTTGAGGCGTCGTTAGCTTTTACATGGGAAATGTAAAATCGGCAAAACCAAAGTAGCCGTTTGCGGAATGCATCACCTGTTCGCTACGTCGAGAGAGGTCAACTACAAGCTTAGTACAAAGACTCATACGCTACGTAGAGTATTCGCCCATTTAGGGCCGGTTGCTCAAAGCCTGGTTGACACTAATCATCGGTTAACATCGTTATCGACTTCTGCGACTCAATGCATATAAAACGGTGTCGTTAACGATGTTTAACCGGGGATTAGCTTTGAGCAACCGGCCCTTAATAAACAAGAGCTCCACACTACTTTTCTCCTTAAAATAAAGATCACAGCTCTTTGTGACCAGAAATTTGTTGAGAGAAGACTTCAGGCCCTACATTTAATTTCATTTTTAATGCGTTAGTGGCTATCGAAATCACCAACATCGCATTGAAAGATTATAGATTGCCAATTACTTCTGATAGAGAAAACGGCAAAATTCCTGCGTTCAAACCCGACCTGTTCGAAATAAATATGTACTTGCCCTTCCTTTTGTATAACCTTAGGGCCGGTTGTTCAATGTCTGACTAGTACAAATCGGAGGTACAAGCTCCGGTTAAATACAACGACTGCTTTATCGATCACATATTATATGCATGATGTCAAAAACGTCGGTAATGGTGTTTAACCGGGAAGTAGTGATAACCAGACATTGAACAACCGGCCCTTAAGGCCATTTTCGCCATCTTTGGTTAACACTAACCCCCAGTTAAACATCGTTACCGAAGGTACTGACTCCATTCATATAATATTGGGTCGGTAACGTCGGTAACAATGTTTCACTGATTGTTGGTGTTAACCAGAGATGGTGAAAACCGCCCTGAGAGTACTCATCACCATTGAAGTGTATAATTTGTTAGGGGAAAAATGGTAGAATAAAGCCACGATGAATAAATGCCTAATAATAAATGCTAAATATAGCTTCAAAAACAGCTAACTTGGTCACACTGTATTAAAGAATGAGGCAGATCTAATTAAGAACTAAGAACTAATACATAAGATTATATTTTAATACTTAATTGATAAGGAATTAAGCTGAGTATATATAAGTATCTACATATGTAGGCATATATAAGCTCTGTGAAGTGAAATACAAATAATTATTTATTTCCAATAAGTTACTTAAAAACCTATCCATTCCAATTTTATTTTAACCATAAATTTTTGTTTCCATGTAGATATGTGGCATATTGCTCATCGTCTTTGGTATCCTGCTCTTCAGCAACATACACAATATCGATGACATAGCCGAGGCAGTACAAACCCAACAAGTGCCCATTACAATGATCGTTTTGGGTTCGGTGATATTGTTGATCTCCTTTTTTGGATGTTGTGGTGCGATACGCGAATCGTACTGCATGTCGATGACGGTAAAAAGGAACATTATTTATAAAGACATTTTTAATTAAAATCATATATGTATGCATGTATATTAGGGTGCAACACAAACAAAAAGTTGCGGGGTTTCCACTGGAATTATAAATTTTTTTTATATTTTAAAACTTCCTCCAAAATATTTGGGAAAATGTCACTGTTTTGATTCCGTTTAAAAAAAAAGTCATTTTCTTTATAAAAAACTCGATTTTGCAAATATTTATTTTTAAATAGGTCCAGTAAATCGTAAAATTTTTTGAAATATTTGGTCGCAAGTATTAAACTAAAATAAATTTTATATTTCCGATAGAAAAACAATACCGATTTTTTTTATGAAGAGTGATATACATATACCGTGCATATATACATATACATATATATTTGATAAGAGTATATTAAAGACTAAAAATCATATAAAATTCTTTACAGTATTCTGTACTGCTCTTCGTGCTGATGATCGGCCAACTGGCATTGGTTATATACATGTGGGTACAAAAGGATAGATATCTGGTAATGATGGGCGATGTTGTTGAAAAGGCATGGGCGCGTCGTACACGTAAGGCAGACTACATGGACGCCATACAAATTAGTGTAAGTATATTTATCTGGTTTACAGATTTATGATTTTATTTTAGATTTCTTATTAACTTTTTTCTTGTAATTTTAGATGGAATGCTGCGGTAAAAACTCCTATGTGGACTATTCATTCCAAGGTTACTATCCACCTTCCTGCTGTAAGGACAACAGCTGTCGCATTGAGAATGTTTATCGTCGAGGTTGCAAACAGGCATTCGTTGACTTCTGGGACAAGAACAGCGATATTATTAAATATGCTGGTCTGGTTGTTGCAGCCATTGAGGTTAGTTTTGAACTAAGAATGTCTAAAATTAAAATAATAAAAAAAATTAAGAAATAAAAAAAATAAAAATAAAAAACAATAACTAAATTAAGTGAAATCAAATAAAAATTAAATAAAACAATAAATAGAATAAAATTAAATGAGATTAATCGAAATAAAATAAAATAAAATAAAATAAAATAAAATAAAATAAAATAAAATAAAATAAAATAAAATAAAATAAAATAAAATAAAATAAAATAAAATAAAATTTTATTTTATTTTATTTTATTTTATTTTAT